GGTGAAGGGAGCGCCATGCATCGCAAAGACCAAAGTCGCTCATATACTGTTTGATTATATTTGTGGACTGCCAATTATGCTGAGTTCCTGCTGTATTGAGCCTATCCATTTCTTCATTTAGTCCAAGGTTGAGGTCGCCTCCAAGAACAAGTGTGCCATCTAAGTGTTCAGAGAGTGCACTGAAAAAAACGTGAAAGAATGAGGGATCATCAACATTTGGACCATATACACTTACAATACATAGCTTTTTATCAAGTATAGACAGTTTAATGATTAAGAATCTGCCCTCTGGATCTATAACTATATCGAGTACTGTGAAATTAATATTAAATTAATTAATATACTGTTTATGTAATGGCATGCCACATCTGGCCTGATTGTGGTTTGGTGTATATGGCCCAGGCTCATAGAAAACAGGTTCCGGCATCAAGTTGGCACGTCTAACTGACTGGTATCATGGCAGGGTGTATGTCAACCAGATGTGGGCCAGGTCTGGCAATGATGGCAATATTTATGTTCCTATTTTCCTATTTTAGTTAGAAGATCCAAATGCCATTTTGCAATACTATACTGCTATGGTGGCCAACGTTTCAAATGCAGGTTTGACAAGTTTGTGAGTGTACACTTTATCCAAAACCTAGTGAGGGTTTACTCATATTTGCCACTGGGTGGCTGTAGCTCAGGAGGTAGAGCAGGTCACCTACTGATCAGAAGGTTAGTGGTTTTATCCCTGGCTCCTCCAGTCTGCGTGTCAAGAGTGTGAATGTAGTTAGCAAACACTCAGTTTAGAGAAAGTGTGTGATTGGGTGAATGTGACGTGTTGTATGGAGCACTTTGAGTAATATGGGTGTGGCGGGGCGTGGCCTGCGGTGCCGTGCAGAGGAGGCGGACACACCTGCACGGCATCCGCAATCATGCCCCGTCGAATTAAATATTGTACTGGTTCCTGTGGTTGGCGTTGTTGTTGTGGTTATTATGTTGAGCTGGCAGCGGGAGAGCTGCAGCTCTGGGTGCGGATGTACAGCAACCGTGAAAGTATTAATAAAGTATGCTGCAAAGCATGAACGTGCACCAGGATCTGCCGTGGTCGTTTACAATGGGAGAGTAGAAAAGCGCTATTTAAGAATCAGTCTATTCACTGTCTGAACAGAGTGTAAAAATGGAAACATCATAAAATTGAAAATGAACATAAAGTAACATGTACTGAATAGAACATCAGTATGGCCATCATTATTTGCTTGGAAAGTCTAAAGTTCCATGGCTTTGAATAGCCAGAGAACACAATGCCCAGCTTAGAGCGACTAAAAGTAACTTCTTTTAACATTCTGTCCACTAATAATAGTAATTTGAAAAAAAAAATATTTGGCATTTTTCATCAGTTTGGGTTCCTCTGTTTATAGTAATTAACCCAAGTTTTAGAATAGAATAGAATACCTTTATTGTCACTATACAGTTGTACAGTGAGATACAGAGCATCTCCTACTCAGTGCAAACATGCTGGGGGAGGGCTCTATCCGCCTTAGTGCAGCTTCCGTACTATACCGTGATGCAGTAAGTTAGCAGGCTCTCAATGGGCGAGTGCTGGAAGGTCAGCAGAGGATGTCTGGGATGATTGTACTAAAGGCTGAGCTGTAGTCCACTAAGAGCATTCGGACATAGCTCTGCCGCTGTTCTAGGTGACTCAGCACAGAGTGGAGGGCGATGGCGTCTTCCGTGGACCCGTTTGTGTGGTATGCAAACTGGTGGGGGTTGAATTCTGGGGGAGGTAATCCTTGGTGTGCTGAAGGACTAGTCTTTCAAAGCATTTCATGATTACCGGCGTGAGGGCCACACGGCAATAATAAACAAGGCTGGTGATGGGAGACTTCTTTGGCACTGGGATGATTGTGGCTGATTTTAGACAGGATGGGATGGCTGCTTCATCCAGTGAGAGGTTGAAGATTCTGGTAAAGATGAGGGTGAGCTGGTGGGCACATGCTAAAAGCACGTTACTTAGCACTGACCCTGTGCTGTATTCACCTAGAGGCACTGTGTGTAAAATCAATTTAAATAGCTCTCATGCTTAGTCTGGGTTTTAGTTTGGTGGCCTCTTGTCTGGGGCGACCGTGGCTCAGGGGGTTGGGAAGCGTATCTGTAACCGGAAGGTCGCCGGTTCGATCTCCAGGCTCTCTGTCCTGGTCGTTGTGTCCTTGGGCAAGACACTTTACCTTACCGTCTACTGGTGTTGGCCAGAGGGGCCGATGGCGCGATATGGCAGCCTCGCTTCTGTCAGTCTGCCCCAGGGCAGCTGTGGCTACAACCGTAGCTTGCCTTCACCAGTGTGTGAATGCAAGAGTGAATGAATAGTGGCGCTGTAAAGCGCTTTGGGTGCCTTGGAAAGTGCTATATAAATCCAATCCATTATTATTTCTTGTGATGAGTCTTACTTCCACTGTCTTCTTATTCCCAATGTATCCCTGCTGTGTTATGCATCTGTCTCCAATTCATCCAAACCATTTTAAATTACAATAAAGAAACACCAGAGCATTAGCCACAGCCAAATACTGTGGATCGACACATTGCAATTATAATTTTTGCCTTTTTCTTTGTTTATTTTTTCCATGTTGTATTATAACTTACAAGGATTTGGCTCCCTTCCTATTAGATTATATCGACACAGAACAGAGAAGTGCATCAGGGCTGTGACCACAAAAAGGAGAGAAGAAATCGCTACTCGGAATGCTAATGTTTCAAAAGTGATTCAGAGCAGCGTTCGATCTCAAATCAAATGGGACTTATCACATTAATGCTAGATTAGATCACAGTGCTGCTGTGGTTGGTTGTGCATGCCTTTAGAGGCAGGGTCTGCTCACTGAATCAACTGTAACAGCTGTAAAGTGCTGTTGTGAAATTGTTCTAAAACACTGAGGACCATGTTCCCATTTGTGAAAACAGCACCATTGCTTTCTTCTTGCCATTAGAAAGAATGCACATCTGTACTCGACTACAGAAATCTCTTCAACTGGCATCTTTAATATACGTTGTACACATTACTGCTTCCACTCTCTATAGTATCTCAAGAAACATCAGCGCAGCTGATTAGAAAGATAAAAGAAGTCTCAATCTTAATGTTACAATGTGCACTAGTCCACTAAGCATCTGGGTGCAAACGTTTTGGGGGGCTTTCAGTGGAGCCAGTGTACCTAGATGGAAGGAAATATTCAATTTCAGCAAATCATCTGCTCTCCACATGGACTCAATGCAGTCACAACCTGCTCAAACATCATTGTTTGTAGTCTGAGTTCTAATGACCAAAGCACAAATGCAAACTAGATCATACATAGTATGCTGGAGTGTTGGTAAGAGACATAAACACACAGGACACAGTGAAGCGGTTTGCTTTTTTGTTTATTTTTTTTATAGCTTTTTTTTTCCATTATTATTTAAGACTTTTCCCCTTTTTTCTTGCTATCAATGCTTTTGGCACTACATACTTAGGGTGACATGTTAGATTGTTTTTAAAACAAACATCTATTCAAAGCCTTCATCTTGTGGCAAGCAAAGTATGAATAAAGCTAATAAAAATAAAGGTTTACATTTGTCCTCCTTACTTTACACATAAAATAAAAACACTTTTTTGGACCCCCTCAAAAACGGGGGTATTAAAATATTTGACATTTGTATCACAAATCAATGTAATGACACAAAAAGTAAAACTTAAAAACTGTACAAAAATGATAAAATTCATTTTAAAAATCGTCTTGTGATCAAATGATGCTTTATGCGTTTTTTTACTGACCATAAGCCTGATTAAAAAAGGATGCCAGTTTACTTCTTCTGTTGGATGAAATTCAGATTCACTGGATGCCGGACATGAGGGACCAGTGGGAAGTTGGGATTCGGATGCATCATAGAACCTAAACAAAGAGAAAAGAAATCCCTTAGAAAAATAATGTCTCTTTTCCAAAAGTAATAAAAAAGCATTGCTGTTCATCATATCTAACCTTGGGCCACAAAGGGTTTACCATGCTGGTAGCCTCCGTTGCCCTGCTGGATGAAGTTCTGGGGCATTCTGTAGGGCCAGGATGGAGACAGAGTGTACTGAGGGGTTTTATTGTGCTCCCATAACCGAGAGCCTTGGCTCACAGCTACAAATGAAGCCGGGTGGCCAGACTCTGTAGACAAAGGGGAAAAAAAATCTTTCTGTAACTGTCAAAAAGAGACAATTGGTACCGGTAAGAATTTTAATCCTAGTGCAGATTTTGCAAATCAAATGGTGTTTTGTGGGTGCAGCACCCATAAGGTAGTAATCAGGATTAGACTAACAAGCTGAAATCAGCATGCCACAGGGAACTGCAGAAGGGTCAACACTGAAAATGCTGACTACTTGCATAAATTTGATTTATTTACAAATAAAATCATTAAAACTTGTGAAATGCTTATGACTATTATAATATCATAGAAAATTAGAAAAAAAAACAACAACCCAAAAAACCCCAACTAAATACAAACTAAAACAGCTAAGTGTATGAAACTGACACTGACAAGCCTCAGAGCTCGGGTAGACTGTCGCTCATGTGTACCTCGTTCTTTTCACTAACATTTTTAAATTGTCAGGGTCAAGAAACAATCCTCAGTCTCATGCACAATCTTTTTGACAACTGCAAACTCATGAGGGTTTGGTAACATTTCCTCTACATTTGCACCATTTTCTTTAGCCTCTCCTAGCAGTGATTGAGATCTGCAGTTTCCTAAGACATACACAACCTAAATCCGAAACATCATCCTGGAACAAAAACTCCAGATTTACTTCTGAATGAAAGAATTCCTTGATTTTCTTTGTAAAGAAAGTGCAGACTCTAAAGCAGCTATACCTGAGCACCAGAGTCAGGTGATTGTGTAATAAAATAAGAAATGGTTTGATGCTTTTATTTAAAGCTAAAGATAGAGACAGAATCCCACACAGACAGATGGTGTCCCCAAATCACCCAGTGAATACCTGACTTGACTACAGTGCCATTGCCCATGAGTGACCCAGGTTGTGCCAAGTGGTTGTGCCAGTGTCCTTCCCGTCCTGGCCCGCTGATGCCCAGCTGTCTCCCCGCCGGCTGGGCGAAGATTATGCTGGGGTCATTCAGATTCATGGTGCTGGGGTTTCCACCTGAACCTGTGGGACTCCCGTTCCCAGACGCTGAACGCAGGGCGAATTTCATGCCAGGCGGAGAGGGGGCAGTGGGAGAGGACGAGGTGAGGACTGGTCCATGGATAGGCCAGGAGGCGGAGGGAAGGTGGACTGGGTGAGTAGACTGTCCCTGGGACTGGTGTGACTGGTGCTGGTGGGTGGGAAGAAGTCCCAGTGCAGTGAGTGCACTTGGGTGATACTGGCCTGGGTGGGAGGTAGGAAAGCTAAGGAGAGAGAGCGGGACCTGGGGATGTGCAGACTGCTTGTGGGGACCAGCAGAATTGGTCTTAGTGTGGGAGGGCTGAGTAGAACTGGAGTGGGTGGAACTTGGGGGAACAGCAGTGGGCTGTGGTGAGTAGGGTGGAGTCTGACGACTATCAGACTATTAGGAAGAAAGGAAGAAAAAAGGAAGAAGTTAAAAATCAGCAATCTGAACAAGTGATGTGCAAATAAGTTCTAATTTTATTTGTTTGTTATTTTTGGATTCACATTTAAAAGTGACGACTCTTTAGACCATGTTTTCTTAAATTCATTCATAAATCACACTAACTACAATCTTTTTTATTTTTATGGCAAAATGTAATCATTGGGATTATTGTAGGTTCTTTACCTACAATATAAACTGCCTTGATTCAACTGTTATTGTGATTTGGCGCTGTATAAATGAAACTGAACTGAATATGCCCAGTAAACTTATTTTCTGTTAATTATTTGCATCTCTTTCCAGAAGCATGCACTTAATTTTCAGTTGTTTAAGTGAGAGAAGATCCTATGACCTACAGTAGTTTAAGAGACATTGCAAAGTTTAATAACTTCCTTCATTATGAAAACTAAAACTACACTGAAGAAAAGCGGATCACATGTTGTTACATGCTGCCATTTATAGTTCTCAGAACTGGAATTGGTACCAAAAAAAAAAAAAAAAAAGAATAGAAAAGAAAATCACATCTCAGTGTTGAATATGCATCACTTATGAACTTCTGTCACATCTGTGCTAGCCAGTGTCAGTGATTATTTTGAAAGCGTAGTGTGGAAGGTTAACTGTTGTACTTACACATTCTGAGGCCTGTCTGGTCCTTCCAGGACAGTCTGCAGCTGTCTGGGGAATAGGGATGGACTGAGAGCTCACTATAGTTCGCACCATGTGAGAAGCTGTAAAAGAATAAAAAGCCATATAAGCTATCTTTTGAGTTCCCACTGCAGAGAATATCTGATGTGTCCCACATCTGATAATTATAACTCAAAATCAATAATTGTTAGGGCATTTACATACATTGATATTTAAGATTTTAAAGAGACTCATAATAAGGTTGGGCGATATGTAAAAATCTCCCAACTGACAATTGCCACTCCAATAACCAATGATATTCACGCAGATGACTTTTTGATGGGCAGAGCAATCACGCAAACACTGATTAGCACGTTTAGAAATTATACATTTTGTTTAGAGGGAATAATTTACCTTCTTTATATGTTTGTTTCAATATTAACCCTTTAAGACCTACCATAGAACCAAGTCCGCCCGAGCTTATCGTTATATTTTTACATGCTGTAGTCCTATTTTGGGGAGTATTCCAAGTTGCTATACATCAATACAACTGTTATATCCCAAGATTTTATAAATGTATGCATTAAGTCCATAGTAACTGCATAAATTGCAAAAAAGTGCAATAAACTACAAAAAAAAAAAAAAAAAAAAAAAAAAAAAAAAGGAAAATCGTTTTTGTTTTGTTTTTTTAAACACATATTTCAGGTTACAGAAATTTCAGAGGTATATACCTCAAAACTAATTACAAAAAAGTTGCACAAAATAGTTTCCAACCAAAGAAAATTTATTTTGAGTGTCTTCATAGTGTTATTTTTGCCATACACCAATTCTTATATACAGCATGAAAAACGAAAATAAATATTATTATGTAAATTAAAAAAAAAAAAACTAAACTTTTTCCAACAGTGCAATTTGAGTTCTAAGCATCTCAGCAACTATACAGAAAAAAATAAAGTCAAACATGACTTTTAAAAACACCATTATAGGTTTTTAAAGTCCCTGAAGGTAAAAACTATGTTTCCCACAAAATATGACATCACTTCCGGTTTTGGCAGGCAATGGCAGACATGCGAAAGTTCGCGGTGATGTCTTTTCCAACGTAGAAAGTGCTATGAACAGTTGATCGGCAAAGCATGTTTCTGGAATATTATGCTTTTGTTGCTGCAAGTGCTTTTTATGCTATTTTTGCAAAGCTATATGTGGAAGGAAACCGTGACTTAGGACAAGCTGAATGCGTAAGAAGTACGTACAACTCCTCCGGTTTCCTATGCAAAAAAAATTATTGTGCTAGCTTATGTGGTAGCAATTCTACCGGGACTTAAAAATAGTTACGCAAAACGGAAACACCATCCTGACAAATATTCATTTTCATACACAACTTCAAAGGGAAAAAAATAAGCTTTTTTTGTGCTGACCTGGTGCTCCGGCAGCTCTTTGTTTGAGGTGACGATATTCAGGACAGTCTCGCCGTACATGTCCCATGTCCCCACACTGGAAGCAACGCCGATCCTTTGGCTCTCGTTCCTCCTCTTTGATGTCCTCATCTTTCTCATTTTCCTTCTTTTTTATTCTGACAAAAAAAAAAAAAATGTCACCACAAGAAGGTATGGAAAACATGCCAGATTTAGTCCAAGTCAAATAAAAACAACTGTGACTGAAAATATATATCTGAAGTTTGATAGTTGAAATTAATTTACGTCCAGTGCACTGACTTCGTACTTTAACATCCATGGCTGGTTGATTGGGGCCTAACATTTTTCTATTCAAAGTTATGATATTATATTCTGTACTGTACAGTGCTGTGCAAAAGCCTTGAGCCACCGCTCTCTTCTTTACATTTTGTTGTCAGTGAGCCTGCCTTTCTTGTAAGGTATCCTGAATAATGGTCTCCACGCTTCCTGAAGGTCTTTCAAAGGTTTTAGGACAATGGCTGCTTTGAGACTCATCTTTGGTCTTGTCCTTGTACCTGACCATTTTCAGAGAAATGTTTTTTAGTATGTTAAGCCCCTTTCTCAGTCAACAGTTAAAAAGAAGCTTAAAGCAACGGATGAACCAGTGTGATGTCTACACATAACAGATGACAGACAAGAACCAATTTTAAATTGTACCTTTGGGTACTTTGGTAATACTGGCCTGTCCCAAAACACAGCATTAGTTCCCATTTGTTTACTTTAACCTACAAAAATATACCAAAGTTAACACAGTTTGACAACCACAAATACAATGTTTGCACCAACAAGGTGAATCCCAGCATGCTGTTAGCCAAAAACTTGGCATATGCTGGGGTGTGCAATGTACCCATTAGAAAAAACCTGAGGAAACTGGACAAGTAGAGAACAAAAGAAGTTGCTTACCACACTTAAAATAAAAAAAAAAAAACTGCAATTTTCCTGAGAGATACAACTGGCCATTCTCTTGATTATTCTATTGTTCATGGAACTCTCATGAGAAATGGTCTCAGTGGATGGGTGGCTGTCAAGATCACATTCTTTTGGACAGTTCCCTCCACAGCTTTAGTTGTATTTTTTAAGATGTGAGATAAAACAACTGAGAGAAGTTCTTCGTATTTGAGCATATTGATTTTTTTCTCGGAAATCTAGCCAACTGAGAGATAAATCTCTGTGACTTAAGAGGGGACCACCTGCGTCTCTTTGGACAGTCCTTCATGTAGTGTCCAATCTTTCCGCAGATCCTGCAGCACCGGTCATTAGGAGCCAATTCACCATCTGTCAGCACCTTAGAGTCAAAAAAGTATTCCTGCAACAGAACAGAAGACATTCAAAACACAAAACACCATTAGGCTGGGATACACAGCACGCAGCAGTCAAAGTCTGAACATTCAACTGTGTTACATGAATGACCTACCACTTCAGTGCCTGGGACGGGATAAAAGGGAGTTCCAAACAGCTTTCTCCCATTTATAAATGCCTTCATGATGAAGTTTGTCACTGGTGGAGGAATGAGAGGCAGCATAAGTAACGGGGCATTTTCACAGTTTCAAAGCAAGCTTCTGCAGACGTACCCAGGCCCAGAGCAGTTCTGAATCGATTTACATAGAATCCTGACATTTGTCTACATATTTCCCCTTCATAACAACTGTACGGTGGGTTATTTGTTTATTTTTAATATTCGTTTGGATGGAGTGTGGCCACTTTGACAAGTGTCCTGACACTGTAGGTGGCACTGTTTGCTACGGCTCATTTTCACTAAACGCACAGTGGATTCACAAGTAACAACTTTATATAAGCACTAATGTTGAGACTTCAGGACCAGAAAGCAATGGCTGACATCACAATGACAAAACTTGTGTTTCACATATAGTCTATGGTTTTGGTGCCCATTAAATTTGTTTTCAACAATGGACGGGAATCAGAATAGCATTCTGCCTGATCTGCTGATGTGCAACCACGGATGATCTGACATCCACGTGTCGGTGTTGTTCCCACATCATCATAATAAATGTTGTTCCAGGTTCAACATTGTAAGTGACCAATCACATTGTTGTGACATCCCCCTTTTGTGCCTTTGAAAAATACCGCCTTAAAAAAAATCTACTTCACTTGCGAGAAGAGAAACCGCTTCCGTCCGCCGATCCAGGAATTTGAATTCTTTGAATTTCAGGATACTTTTGTTTAATAAACGGTAAGCATTATACATATTGTCCTTACAGAGGCGGTTTCTCTTCTTGCAAGTGAAGTAGATTTTTTTGAAGGTGTTTTTTTTCGAGGTGGCGGATGACGTCACGAGAAGGTGATTGGTCACTTGCAATGTTGAACCTGGAAAAACATTATTTATGATGATGAGGGAAAAACACCAACACGAAGATATCAGATCGTCCTGCAACCACACATGCTGCTACACTGTGATTTTGTGTGTATTTACATTACTATCATAACCTGACAGGACCTGCTGTTTTGATCTAGTCTCTAAACCTTCACAATTTGTCCTTCTTCTGTTCATTTTCAAGCATCAAAGTACAATGACTTCAACAGGTGAACAACTGTAAGTGTGGGTGCACGTGTACAAATATTCAACCAGCCTCATCCTCTGGGCTAATCTACAATGGAAATGAAAAGCTGCAAGCAACGTGTGCACGGTGTACATATTAGAGCATTGGTGTCCAAAGACTGTTGCTGACTGTTGCCTGCTTTTACAGGCAACAACTGCAGAAGGGGAGACTAAATGAAAAAAATGCTGCTAAGATCCACATAAAAGATAATAAGAGGATGAGAATGATGTAGAGGGTGAGACTTTATAGCACAAGGTAAGACTGGCTACTCAATTTTTTCAAAGTTGTTTGAACCCAGTAGGAGGCTAAACTGACATGAAAAAAGGAAATAAAACCCAAGAATTGTGTAAGATTGTTCAACCACCAAAATTACGCCATAACTTGACAGAGGTTTTAGGAAACTTTATCATAACCAAAGACAAGTTTTCAAAGTCTACAGAATGCATCAATAAGATATTTTTTGTATTTGGTATGGCAGGCACTTACTTTTACGAGAAACTCCAGCACCGAGGTTATGATTCAAATCAAAGGGATCTAAGAAGAAGAGCATATCAGTGGGATGAAAACAACTGTGAGTCTGGAAGCAAATCAAGTTTACAGAGATGCAGAGCCATGTTAGCACCTTCAATAGCGATGCATTTGCTGGTCCACTGTTTTTCAAACGTGGTGAGGCGTTTCCTTTGGCGAATGCTGATCACGTGCTCTTTGAAGTCAAACTCTTCAGTGTAAAAGCGTAGAAGTCCCAGCCACAGCTCTCCCACAGACTCTGTGTTCTGCTGATTCTCTAAGTGATGACGACGCTGTGAGAACAGAGGAAACTAATTCCAGAGTCATTACAAGACAAACTGTACTTGCTGCTTTTGTGTGTGTGTGTGTGTGTGTGTGTGTGTGTGTGTGTGTGTGTGTGTGTGTGTGTTGTTTAATTAGATTTGACTGATTATTCGATATACGTGGTTTTTTACACCCCAGGGAACGCTGAGACTAAAGTTAACTTAGGTAATGCTTTTAAATAATTTTCCTACATAATTGCCATAAGACATTTTAATGTGGTTGCTAAGCTGCAAAACTCTTTTGTTTTTCCAACTCACCAGATCCTCAAGGTCATCAAAAAAGAAAGCGTTCCAGCCATCTACCAACCGCTGAGGAACAGTATTCCCATCAAAGATCTAAAAAGACATCACGTATCATTTAGAGCTATTTACTTCATGAAATTCAATGCAAAAATAATTTTAAAAAAAGCCTCTTTAAGTTTCAGGCACAGCACTTGACTGAGTTAATCAGTGGTAAATACCTCCTGCAGGACAGGAATGACAGGTGGCTGCCTCTGCTGCAGAAAGTAAAGCACCATCAGGATGTAAGCATAAGAAGAGAGGCTCCCTCTGGAAGCGTCACCGATGTCACAGCGCTGTGAGGACAAAAAGTGGGTTAGTTACAGGAAGAGACGACACTCGTGGTGAAGGCTTTTTGTAAGAGGGCACACTAAATCATGTTATAGATCTTATATTTTCTGTTGCATTTTCTTCCTTGTAAAAGAGATTTGATTTCAACGTTAAATAAAGGTAAATAAAAACACACTAACATACATGTGTTATGCTTGCAGTGAGATTTCCAATTTTTTTGGGAAGAAAACCCTGCTAACATTTGTTGTAAAACCCGTTCCCAAATTCAAGTGCAGACATCAGAAGAATAAGCTCATGTATGTTTGAAAACATGCAGGTGGATATACGTTTATTTGTATACTGAGCATCATTGTATACATACCATCTTTTCTATAACTGCACTTTAATATTCCTTAAATTTTGGTTTTGTTTATGCACTGGTCTCAATGCTGTTGAGTCTTTATACAGCTTTCATTTACTTACTGTGTTGGTTCTGTTACTCCCACTGGTATGGGGTGGGAGATCACTTGCAAATACTGAATTTGTGCTTCTTTGAAAACACCCAAGAAGGATCGTAGATTACTGAATACTCAGCCTGAGTACTCTGGTTACAAACCCAGATTGTCAATTTTCACATACCTTTGCAAAGACCTTCATTGTGTATCCCAGAAACTGCACACGTGGATCCAGAGCCGCATATGTAGCTAGCATCCTGGTGTTGTGTTGAGCCTAGAAAGAAGAATCCTCCAAATTCATTTATAATGCAACATATTTGACAATATAAAACATCTCTTATAACATTACATGCCAACAGTCATAATGAGGGCATCTTCCACTCACCAGTGTGTTATAAAGGCTGATATCCCCCTCCAAACCACTCTGTTTGTGTTCAAACTTCACTATAGGCACTTTAGCTGTGGTGATAGGTAAGATGTTCCTCAAACCTGAGATGATGGAAATTATGAGATTAAAGTCAGTTTTTCCACACAGACAGGAGTCTCCTACCAAATTATTCAGGGGGAAATAATAGGAACACTTTAACTGACCTGTATGCTTCTTGAGCACTTTTGCAAGGCCTTCAATGATTTCTTTGCAGTTCAGGTTCTGTTCAGACAGATCCAAAAAATAAATTAAACACTGATCATATGAAATAATGATCATGTGTTTATTCAAGTGAGTGCATCTGGATGTTTTGTCTGCTAACCTCTGCAGTTTCGTGGCCCTCCAGAGTCATGCAGATGTCAAGGTCACTGTCACGGAATCCAAAGCCATTTTTGGAAGATCCAAACAAGCAAAGCTGGGCTTTTTCTGTGGAAACATGGACGTTTTAAAAAGAAAACCAAAACAAGGTACATCAGTCTTTTAAAGTGTTCTCACAGTGATGTTGTACTCTATAAACTCCATCCATCCATCTTCATCCGCTTTATCCG